GAAGTATCTTACAATTATATTTTATTGTATATATATGTTATTAATGGCCATTTAAATAAAATAGAATTTTAGTATAGTTAATTCTTTCTATTGGTGCTATACTTTAAGAAAATCTTAATGGATTTTTCATAATAAAAGCTAATCAATTTTTTTGAAAAAATAATTCATTATTAATAGTTTAGTCTACTTTTGTTATACTTTACAATATCACAGTTATAACTTTGATACTCAAAAAATAATCTTCTGTGAAGTGTTGTAATTATTTTTAAACCAAAAATCGGGTATGTCTTATTTATTAAAGTATTAGTATAAAGCAATGGTTCTTTGATGTTTTTAATGGATTACATGAGTTTCTTGCTTTTGCCAACTTATTATATTCAGTGCAACTTAAGAATAAATTCAATGCAGAAGGTGTTATGGTAAAAATATCTATGTACTTTACATTATTTTGTAAGTAATTTTGTGTACAATTATCATATCTATTTATATTATTAAAATCAAATAAAATACTAAATTATATAGTTCTGTTTTTTATTCTCATGTGTATACTCAACTACTTTATTGAAACATAAAGTAAAAGTTGTCCTAAAATTAATGTCGTTCAAAAAATGTCATAGTAGTTAACCTTCAGCAGACTAATTAAATAAATTAGTTCTCCATGCCAAATAATTAACTTAAAAATTATTATTCTTACTGCAAATAGATGTTTACTCAAACAATTAGATAAGAATAAAAATAATTTTGATTTATTACAAATTTTAAACTTAATTATTGAGTTACATAGTTTGTTTATTGTATTTATAAATTTTCGAAAAGATATCTGCCTTATAATATATTCTATATTATAAAAGATTCTGACTAAATAAATGAAAGTGATATATTTGATGATGAAGTAAAGTTTAGCTACATAGCGAAACAGAGAAAGTATTGGCGTTATCATAATGTGCGTCTTTCATAGCTGTCCATGAAAATTCTGATTTTGATAGTTCATGCACAAAAAATTTAATTTATTAATTTTTTTTAATTAATAATAATGTAATAATAATAATAGTAATAATTTATCAATTTAACACAGTAAACATTAAAATATATAATTTAATTATATAGCACATTATACCTAACGATGATAATATTTATTCTAATCCAACCATATTCGTTATTTATTTGGGGCTATTAAAATTTTGATTAAAGTTTGATTCAATGTGTGTGCACTTAATATTATTCGAATATCCTTTCTACGAAGTCTACTTGCTGATAATATTCTTGGTAATGTGACATGACCCGTCTTTTCCCCTATTCATTTCTATATTTTTCGAGTGATTGTGCTTATCTTAATTTTACGGTATTAGTTACAGCGAAAAAAAATATTTCTGCTGTTAACAAAACGTCATTATATTACATTTTCATAAAGTAAATAACCTTCAGCTGAGTTATTATTATTTTATTAATGTTTTATTATTATAATTTCGGTACAAACTTAAATTCCTTAAAATTAAAACATTAAAAAACGTACTTAAAAACTTTAAAACTCCAAAAAAGTAAACAATTAAATTAAATTGTCAAAAACAAAAAAATTACTCTAAAATAATTATTTTTATTCTTTTCGTGTTCATTAAATTTTATTATAAGTATTATTAATACCTAGTTAAAAATGTATTTTACATTTTAAAAATATTGTATTTGAAACATATTTTTTATGTTATTTTTTTTATAACAGTTAAAAATTTGTTTTATAAAGTATAATTTCTGTTGCATGTAATTAAAAAATACAATAATAATCAAATAAGGAAGTATAAAAAACGTAACGTAAATAATTTGAGCTTTAACATAATTTTAAAAAAATGTTCATATTAAGGTTATTCTTTTTATATGTCTGGAATAAGATATTGTAAGGGACCTTGTCCAAAGTTTAAATAAGATCAATATATTTTAAGCATTGTTCGAACTCTATATTTATTTATGCTGAACTTTAATCGAAAATCTGAGGCGCTTAAAGCTATAGGACTAGGGTCCATGACCTCTATAAACCATCTAGTGGTATACTCCAAAAAATGGGACTACATAGTATTTAATTTTCTTCAAGACCAAAATAATGATAACGTATCATATATTAAAATAATAATTTTTTGTTAGTCTATTAAAAAAAGTTGGAATTATGACACTAGTGATCGATGAACTCTTATAACTTTTATTGCATATATAATGATACATACTTTAAAAATAATAATAAGGGTTAAAAATCCCGTGTTTCAGTTTTTGTGCCATAAATTGATCTTTATTTATTTAAATAGAAAAAACTTACTGTTTACTTAATGGAAATTTTAGTACTTGAAAATAGTATCTGGTATATTACTAAAAATAGTGTGTGTATTAACATTTAAATTTAACCAAGTAGTTAAAGTGAAATGAACCGAGATGTTTTAACTGTATTGTTACGTAAATTATTATAATATTGAAGGAGGAATGAAGTAGTGCATTATAATTATAGTATCATCATTGAAAGTACAAGTTACATTAAATAAAATTAAAAGACTGCTGCATTTAATAAAAATAGTATTCGTGCTCTACATAATTTAGGCTGTTGGTACTTGCCACCATATATGAGCTATAATTTCTATTATTGAGGATGAATGTTTAGAATTGGTTGCACTCCTTTTAAGGTTCATGAACTCATTATTTACACTTAAACATTTTATCCTTCTTATTGTTTAATTGTTAACTCTAATCTTTTTAAACGGATGATTGTTGGATGCCATTATTAGTAAAAGAATTATAACAATTTAATGTAAGAATAACTTCATTATTTTGAACCAGAATCAAATATACTGTTCTATTAGACTTTAATGACAATTGATATATTACTAGTTAAAAATAATAAAATTTCAAGAAAGGATATGAAATTTATTAAAGCTGTTTAGCCTCAAATTTAATTAAATTCCTTGATAAGATTTAAACGTAATATTAATGAAGGCTGTCGACGTGAAATAAAATTATTTTCAAAATTGATATTTTAATATTATAAGAAAACTTATGAATTATGAATTGAAAAATTATAATTTATATTTATTTTAAATTATTGTTATTTTTAAATATATGTATCCGCATACATTTTAAAATAATATGCTAGGGAAAGGGTTTTTCGTGTGAGTGTTGTAGGAAATTTCTTTGTATCAACTATATATTTAGTTTCATATATATATATACAGGGTGTTCAGTAAGTCAGGAAACGGGTATCTATTGTTCTCATTGTTACAAACAATGAGAACAATAGAAAACCGTTTCCTGACTTACTGAACACCCTGTATAAGACGAAATTAATATTCCCTTCACGGAAATGGGTCGAGGCTTGGAGGGGTAGCCCGCATCCAAAAAAAATGTTAAGCAATCTAGAAAATTAGAAGTAATTTAAGGTGGAGTAAAAATATTAAAATATATAATTAGTTAGTCCAATATTTGTATTTTATTTCTGCTTGTGATAATAATTTTATTAGAATATATTTAAGGTAATAACATAATTTCGGATAATGTTATTGCTAAATGAATCTGGATAGTTTCCTTTCTCTTCTGTTTAATTATGCTGCTTTCTCATTATTTTTGTGTTATCTTTATTCTCAAAATATTTTCACTTAAGTATCTCACCTCGCTTATGTCAACTTGTTTTGAAATAAAAATTGTTCCAAAGAATAATTATATCAAAAATCGACTATGTATGGATGCAAGTTGAAACGTACGAATAATTAATATGTAGCTTACAGTAGCGCAGTCGGGGCCTCGTAAATATATCTATAAAATTCTATATTTTGGACCCATTTTTTTTTATTGTCACTTTATTTTAGAGATGAATATTGTTGTCAATGGAGGGATATATCCCTTGTGGTCTTCCTTCTGACTACATCAATAGGAGCTTGAGTAATAAAATTGGTTATGAATTTCCTTAAAAAGAAAATATTGGATACTACCAACTACAACTATGCACACAATCTATGAAACAGTTGTTCTAATCTTTTAAATTTTCAGGTTATGTTTCAATGTTAAATGAAAAAAATTTTATTATTTGACATTACAATTGTTTGAAATTCCGTTATTTTTGATAATTATTAAATATCTCATATGTGTTATTTTATTCTTAATATTTAAACCAATACAAATAAAACTAAAACTAAAGTAAAAAAAATTCCTTTAGTGAAGTTGGAAATAGATAATAACTTAATAGAGCAAGTCCAACAATTTAGGTACCTAGGTTGTACGATTACTACTGATGGTAGATGCTCAATAGAAATTAGACAAAGAATAGCTATGGCAAAGAGAGAGCATTTAAGTAAAAAAGGAAGCTACTTACAAACAAAAAACTTAATATAAATATGAGAAAAAATGTTGTCAAATGCTATGTATGGAGCGTATTATTATATGGTTGTGAAACATGGACCATCAATAGACAAGACAAGAAGAAGTTGAAGCCATGGAAAGATAGACATGGCAAAGATTGCTGGAAGTCAGCTGGACAGAAATGAAAAGTAACATAGATGTAATAACCTATAAAATAGGGGGAAAAAGGAAACCGTTAAACACCATAAAAGAAAGAAGCGGAAATATGTTTGGTCACCTACTGAGGCTCAATTTGTTTATGACAAATATATTTGAAGGACGAATAAATGGATACAATGGTAAAGCCAGACCGAGGAAAACATATATAGAAGAAATGATAAGACAAGCTGACTGTAGTGGATACATAGACGTGAAAAGACTAGCATTTAACAGCGAAGAATGGTTAACCAGACTTGCAACAACAAGGCAAGGCTTTTAGTAGAAAAGAAGATTTAAATCAACTAGTTTTTGAATAATAGATACATTGATGACTAATAATATAATTTAGTAAAATAGTTATGTTTACTTTTAAAATATGATAAAAAATCATTTTTCTATTAAAAACGTTCCGTAACCAGTTTTTCTTAAACAAAAAACTACTAGTGAAGTTTAAAATTTTAAAATACAAATTTTAGGTATACTGGATGACATCCAAAAGAGTTTTTCAATTGGTGATGATAAAGGTGGATTATTACAAACAGTATTTGTTATTAGTTATATGATATTTGCCCCAGTATTTGGCTACATGGGTGATAGATACAATAGAAGACTGATTATGGCGTTTGGTGTATTTCTTTGGTCATTAACAACTTTAATAGGTTCTTTTATGAACGTAAGTTTATAAGTTTGATAAAAATGATTATTTTTTAAATTTTATTTCTTAACGTTTTGCAGGATTATTATTTTTTTTTATTTTTCCGAAGTTTAGTGGGTATTGGAGAAGCTAGTTATTCAACAATTGCTCCAACTATTATTAGTGATATGTTTGTAAAAGACTTAAGATCTAAAATGTTGGCCTTGTTTTATTTTGCTATCCCAGTAGGAAGGTAAAATTAAAATTTGAAAATGTGCTTAATGTTTTTAAGCCTTATTTAGTTTTAATAAATTAATAATAAATTGATTGTTATTATTAATTATAATTGATAAAAAATTATTTTTCTTAGTGGCTTGGGCTATATTATTGGTTCAGAAACTGCAAAAATGTTAGGTAGTTGGCATTGGGGGTTGCGAGTTACACCCATTCTTGGATTACTTGCTGTCATATTAATTTTATTTAGTATGGAAGAGCCAGAGCGAGGGCAAAGTGAAGGTTATACTCATGTATCTACAACATCATGGTTTGAAGATATTAAATTACTTACTAAAAAGTATGAAATAACTTTGTATTTAATGATTTCTATAGTAACTATAATTTGAAATGTATATTATTTTATAGCAAAAGTTTTATGCTATCAACTGCTGGATTTACCTGTGTTGCCTTTGTAACTGGTTCTTTAGCCTGGTGGGGTCCAAAAATTATGTACTACGGACTAAAATTACAACCAGGTTATGAAAACGTAACATTAGACAGGTAAGATTTTATGAAAATATTTTAAGCGTATCAATTAAATATTTATATATTTTTAGTGTATCATTTAAGTTTGGACTTATAGCTATGGTAGCTGGTTTAATTGGTGTACCTTTAGGTTCATATATTTCACAACGATTCAAAATTTCTTATCCAAAAGCAGATCCATTAATTTGTGCTGGTGGTTTACTTTTATCAGCGCCTCTATTATTTTTGGGCTTAGCATTAGCAGATAAATACTATGTTGTTGTTTTAGTGTTGATATTTTTTGGTCAAGTATCAATTAATCTAAATTGGTCGATAGTAGCTGATATATTACTGGTTGGTTTGAACTTTAAATTTGAATTAAGTACAATGTTAAAAATACTGTTCTTATTCCAGTATGTTGTAAGTCCCATTAGACGGTCTACTGCTGAAGCTTTTCAAATATTGATATCACACGCTTTTGGTGATGCAGGAAGTCCATATCTTATTGGAGTGGTATGTAAAAATTATTTATTTAAATCCTTTTGGATGATAATAAATCAAATATTAGGTTCTTTATCCTATTAAATGATTAGTTAATGTAAAATTATAGGAACTTGTAAAAATAATTTTATTTAGATTTCAGAAATGCTGAAAAAGTTGTTTACAAAAGGTGCTATACCAGTTCTGCTTACTTCAATAACTTTAGTGAATATTGATTTAAAAGATGACAAGAACAATGACAAAATTAGTTTCCACAGTTTACAGTATGCTTTGTTCATAACAAGTTTTATTGAAATATTAGGAGGTCTATTTTTCTTTTTTACGGCATACTATGTAATAGAAGATAAAGAGCAAGCCGAATCTGAAACTCCAGGTTGGGCAAACTACACTCCTATTGTTAGCCAATATTAATTAAACAATATGTTTTATTTTTTTATAAGACTTCATAAACAAATTTCTAAACAACCTAGTCGAACACTTTTTTTTATGTATTTTTTTTTGTTATTGTGTTATTAATTTATTTTATTGTTTATTTTACTGGTTCTTATTTAATAACTGCTGTAATGGTTCATGTATTGTCTCTTTGGGTTTGCAATAATTTACTATTTATTATGCTTTTATGCATATTTCTTAAAAAAATTTACCCTTATGTTTACTTCAAGCTTAATATTATGTATTGTTTATTTTAGTAGGTTTTAATTTCGTGTTCATATTTTGTAAGTTTTAGACTAAATTGTGATGTGATGTGCTTGTGTGGTTGTTGTAGAAAAAACAAATTAAATTTTTAAAAATCTTAACATTTTATATTTGCTATGTTTAAATTCTTTTTACCTTTATATATGTAGGTGTTATACCATACTTTTGCTGGTTTTTCACTATAAAAAAATGTCTTTTGTATTTGTATGGTATGCAGGGTGATCAATTTATCATAAACTACTCGATTAATCACAAAATAAATACAATATTAAGAAAAAAATATTGGTTTGTTTTCGTAACATATTTTCTAATTTACCAGTTTAATTTATTAATAACTTTTTAGAATTATCATTTTAAATGTCAATTTTATTTTTTGATATCGCAACATACACATTTAACTAGCTTATAAAATACAAAATAACTGTTCAGTAACAAATTTTATTAAAAATCATTCAGAAGTTATTAGCATTTTAAAATAGTCTGGATGTAAAACAAGTTGCTGCTATTGTAACATGTTTGCATTTTTCTCCCATTTGGGTATAAAAATGAGATTTTTATATTTGTGAAAAATATTTTTGAATGATTGTTCCAAAAGTCGTTATTGACCAGTTATTTTTTATTTTATAAGCTAGTTAAATATGTATGTTGACATTAATAATAATAAAGTTGACACTTATGAGGAATAATTCTAAAAAGTAATTAATAGCTGATAAATTAGAAAATATGTTACTAAAACAAACCCTAATTTTTTTTAAATATTGTATTTATTTTGTGACTAATCAAGTTGTTATGATAAACTTATCATTCTGTATATGGTAGTGAAATATTTTTTTTTGATTTGAATTTTTAATTTAAAAAATAATGGAAACAGTTGCGTATACAGATCATTTCTTTTTGTTAATAAGGTAATTTTATTTATAGATGTGCATTCTGGTTTTAAATAAATAAAAAATATTATTTTTATTATGGTGGAATTGTTTTTCTTTCATAGTTCTCTGGATCCACCCCTGTATAATACAATAATTAAGGGTAATATTTTTCTAGATTATAAATTTTACTATGTGTCAATATTTGTAAAAATAAATTTCTTAACGCCTAATTAAACAATTTTGTTTTCTAATTTATACATTTATTTTGCAGTGATTAATAAAAAAAATAAACTCACTTATAAAAATTTCATGAATAGTAATTTTATCTTAAGAACTTTGTTACCACCCTATTATATGATAATATAAATACAAATATTTTTTAAAATATTAAATTACAAATCTTTAAATTTGATAGGTGTAATATTAAACTAAGTTATAACTTAATCATAATTTTATTTGATTGGTATCATTTTAAAAGACACAAATTATATTTAAATAAAGCAAATATCAAATTTTATTTAAATTATCCTATTTTTTGATGAGCTTTTAAAATATAAATAAATTACAATATTTAATACTTTATAATTTCTATCTATTATAAATGAAATACATTTATTATTTTTGCCCTCTATTAAATATTTTTTTGGAGATTTTTTTGTTGTTACAGTTGTGATGTATTTAGTTTGATTTTATAAAATATTCTAAATGAATATTTTCAAGAAAATTTGAATTTGAAGAGCATGATTTTTTTAACTCTACTTTTTTGGTTATTTACAATTACTATTCATCTGAAGGGATTAATCTTTACTTAAATGGATAATTTTTAATTAACTATTTAACTAATTATTTTTTAAGACTTGTGTTATTAGTAATATGAGTTAAATTTACATGCATATAATTATTTCACCAACATCATAAAACTTGGAATATTACTGACTTAGATGTATATGTCTACTAATATTTATAGAAGTAACTGCTTTTACTAGAAATGAATATTATAAGCATGATTCAAATATAAATTTTAAAATTTAACTTATTAATTCATAATGTAGTATACTTTTTACTATTTAAAATTTCAGCAGAAAACCATCAGAATAATACTATTGTACAGTCTATTTACAATAGTGCAGATGAATCAAGTTTACATGGCCATTACAATCCACATTTTGTTGCTTAATTTGAAGAAGTGACACCTGTATTCTTCTAGAAATCTTGCCATATATATTTAACGAATATATAAATTTATTTTTGTTCAGTATTTATAAATCATAATAATTACTATAAACTAGGCTAATATTAGTGTATTATTTATTTAAACAATGTATTTTCAGTTTGTTTATCTGTGATATTTATATTTTTTTTATTGGTTTTATGTAGACTATTAATTATTAAAAAGGTGAAAAATTATGTTTATAAATAGAAAAAACAAAACCAACACATAAGTATTAATATTTTTATTTTATTTATTTTTGTATTTTTTTATTGTAAATACTACTTATAAAATAATATTTTTACTTTATTACTGTACGTATAATAAGTAAAGTAATTAAATGTTGTTCAAAACTTTTTGTGAGTAATCGGTTTGCTCCATTTAAAGTTTTTTAGATAAATGATTATACTTCATATAAGGCACTCAGAAGCTCAGCCGATTAACTCTCATTTTTTTCAATCACTTTCCTTTAGATTCAAAAAGTGAACACAATTTTAATCCAATAATGCTATAATTAAAAATCAGAATTATAGCTTCTAAGCACCTATATATTATAAATTAAAATATAAATATTAAGTGTAAACATTTTTTCTATAATAGCCATTTGATTTTTTTACTTTTATATAACGAGTATATTATATTACATGATATTAAAATGTGAAAATCAAATTTGTAGAAGAAATTTTCTTAAAAACGTCATAAATGTAAGAGGTTTTAACATTTTCTTAAATTAAGTTAATTCATGTTCACTATAATTTCACCATTACTTAAAACACATCATAATCATTAATTAAATATCATTAACATGGACCAATGAAAAATTTTAATGAAACGTGTAACTTTATATGTACACATAAAAAGAAATAAATAATTATAAATGTTTTAATATTATATTACATCATTGTGTTGTATGACATATAGGATGATTATTTATTTTATCATCGACCACTTAATTAATTCAAAAATAAAAATGTTAACAAATTTTTTAATGCTATTAGTTACATATTTTTCTTAATTTATGAGTCGTGAAGTATTTTTTTTAGTTTTTCCCTTTTACTTTATAAGTGTGTTAACTTAAATTTTTTAAATGAGAAAACTTACAATTGATTAGCTTTTATTAGATTAGAATTTATTGGATAATGATCAAATTAAGAAAATGACTGGCCAATAACATCTTTTGGACTAGAATTTTAGAAGTTATTGACCATTTAAAGTAATTTCCTGTTGTCTGGGTACAAAAATGTTGAGGAACGGTGTGGCCAAGTCGGTAACGCAGCAGTCCATGACACACATTGCTATGGGTTCAAAACTTGGTCACGGACAATTTCATTTTGTCTCCCTAAAGTAGTGGTTCCCAACCTTTTATGAGTATGACCCTAATATTTTAAATTTAACTTTTGGCGACCCCAAAACAAAAAAAATCATAATTGCAGACAATACTTTCATTTATTAACACAAAATCGGTTAATATATAGGTACATTAATCTATCCTCAAATACTAAATAAAATAAATTTAAAAAATACTAATAAAAAACTGAACAAAATACGTGATTTACGTCATAAAATATTATAAAAAGCAATTTATTATTTGTTTCAAATTTGACATGGTATAATTGTATTAACTCTTACTTAATGACTTCCTTGATGCTGAACATATTCCACGAGTTCTTCAATATTTGGATGTATATTCATTGAAAGTGCACATCGCATATCGTGTTGAGCATCAAGGCGATTTCTATACTTTGTTTTGATGACAACTAACGTAGAAAACCCGGCTTCACATAAGTATGTGGTTGGGAATGGTAGTAATGCATTTTCGAATTCTCTTGATACAATCGGTTTATCTTTTAGTTGTGCCCAAAATTGCGTCAAACACATTCTTGAAAAATTGTCTTTTAAGACTTGACTGGCTTGAAGGTCAAGAAGTTCTTCTTGAAACCCACAAATGTCTTCACCAACTTCGTGAACAGAAACTTCAAAAGGATTTCTTACCCAATTGTATTTACTGAGCTCTACGTTTTCTGGTATATATCGATTGAGTTCCAACTGTAATTTGTTCAAGTACTTTTGAAGCAGTAATTTTAAGTCATTTAATGTAACTTTTGTTGAATCTTCAAGAAATTCACTTAAAAGGGCAAATGTGGCAATTTTTCCTTGAGATAGTTTTTCCTGCCAAAGTCCGAGCTTTTGTTTGAATTATGAGATTTTTTCACCAACGTCGATCATTGTCCTATTCTTTCCTTGCATTTCAATATTCAATTCATTTAACCGTCCAAAAATATCACTAAAAAAGCCAATTTAGCAACCCATGAATCGTCATTGAATTTATCAGCCAATGATTGTTTTTTTTCCGTTAGAAAAATTTGTATTCCTAAAAAGACATAACACGGGTAAGAATTTTTCCACGGGAAAGCCAACGTACATCCGAGTGATAAAGTAAATTTACATACTGTGATCCCATCTCATCACACATGGCATGGAATATTCTTGAATTTAGTGCTCTAGCTTTTATAAAATTGACAATTTGAATTACGTCTTGAAGTACTGAATAAAATTCTGGCTGAATTGCTCTAGTTGCTAAATTTTCACGATATAAAAAACAATGAATAATGACAACCTTTGAATTAATTCCCTGAACTCGTTTACAAAATCCTATTCAATTCCCAAGCATTGCACCGTCCGAACAGATTCCAACGCAATTACACCAATCTAGATTATTTTTCCGAAAAAATCCATCAACTTCATTAAAAATATCTAAGCCAGTTGCCGATGTAAGAAGAGGCTCACAAAATAAAAATTCTTCCCGAAAATCGTCAGTACTTCGATAACGTATGAATACCATTAATGGTGCGTTATTTTGAATATCAACAGATTCATCAATTTGTATTGAAAATTTATTAGCTGCAATCACTTGATGAACTAGATGTTTTAAAATATTTTCAGACATAAGGTCTATTCTTCGTTTAACAGTGTTATCCGAAAGTGGGATTAATTCTAGTTTGTTAGCAATGTCATCTCCGCAGACCGTTCTAACCATAGAAATAGCTGCTGGTTTAATCTATTCCTCTCCAATGTTATGGGCCTTTTGAGAGCGTGCGATTTTCCAAGCAACGTCAAATGATGCTTTTGTTGTTTTTTGTAATGAAACTGTAAGTGTATTGGACGGACAATCAAGACGCATACGTTTTATTTTATTTTTATGTTCCTTCCAAAATTGTAATGGTTTATTTATCAATGTAGGGTGAACAGTGTTCAGATGTCACTTGAGTTTATTTTCCTTCGTTGATTCATTAGACAAAACTTGCAGGCAGAATACACATTGAGGACGCACTAATCCTGATCGATCTTTTATTTCTGTAAAACCAAACTTCAAAAAAACATCTTTATACGGTAACGCGCGCTTAGCCATTACAAAAAGTTAAATCACTTGAATATTAAATAAGAATATAGAATTACGCAATATCATTAAATTATCAATACTTATATACGTCCAGACGTACGTTGTACATATTATATTTATACTATAAATATAATATGTAAATTTGTAATACAAATTTTATACAAAACTACGATAAGGACACACCAAACCGCACCTTGACGTTCGGGAAATATATTATGAACAAAAATAGAAATTATATACCTGTTATGTCATATAGTAGTATACTAGTATAGTACCTAGCTACACCACGCTATGAGGGTACGACCGCGAACAGCCCGGGCCAATCCGTTTACATAGGTATTTAAAATTATTTTATCTTCGATAATTTTATTATCACAATATTTCGGGATTTTTTTTTCCGAAATTAAAATCATAATATAATAAAATATAATATGTAAACTGTAAGAAATTCTTTCGCAACCCACCATGAAAACCTCTGCGACCCTAATTTGGGTCGCGACCCGAGGTTGGGAACCGCTGCCCTAAAGTAATGCCTTACAGTAGTTCTAAAAAAGGCAGACAGCATGAATTTGCTCGTTTGACAAAAAAAAGATACAAAAATATTAAGATCTTCTGAATTATTGGTCAAAAAGTTATTTACATTCAATAATTTTCTTAATGTGATCATTATCTAATAAATAAAATATGTTACTTAAAGTAATAACTTAAAAAATTGTAAATATTATTTTGATTAAATAAAATAATCACTTTACATATATCAAGTATAAATATATACTTGAGATTTCATAGATAGCATACTTTTTTTTTATGAGGTACTTGAAGATATATGTTGGTTTTAATAGTATTTAATGATCATTATTCATAAGAATATTATTCACCCAATTTTAAGTAACACAATTTTCAAAAAATGAACCTAGACATTATAGTAATTTGAATATTAATAAAATTAAACTCATTTTTTTTTTTGGCAATAAAAAAATTTGTTCATCTATCTAAAATAATATTTTTTAATGAAACATTTTTATTTAAATCAAGTTTTTCAATCCTTTGACTCAATAAAATATAAAAATAAAGAGGTAAATAGAAAAAAGGTTATTTTTATCATAAAAGTTTCATAATTAGATTATGATAAATAATAAATATTTAGTAACCCCCTATAAAAAAAATTGTTCAACAAAATATTGCAAAATTTTACTAACTATTTTGCAATAACTTTAAAGACCTATTTGAGTATTAGTAATTTCAATTACTATACTTAAGTATTGCAAAATATAATTTATTTTTAAATTTTAGAGAAATAAAAATAAATATTTAGAAAATTATAAATTAATTTTAACAGTAATGTAACACTTATGTTTTCTTATTGAGAAAACACAAATTATCTTCTATAGAGTTAAATTAATTAAAAGGAATATTACTACTAACAGTTTTTATTCACTTTTTTATTTCATTAAATATATTTTACATTTTTTTTTATTTTTATTTTTAATGTAAAGAAAGAAAAGAAATTATCTAAATAATTTGTTAGTACCATTAAATATGCTTAATAATTAGTTAACATATAATTAAAGCAAAATCTTGTAAAATATATATATATATATATATAAGAATATTGAACTTATATCATGTACTATAATCTTAAAGACGCTTTACATTTTTATTTTTTGAGCTATTCAATTAAAAGTTTAAATCTTATATTCTTAACCCGGTTAATCAATTATGAACAACATAAAAATTACAGAGAACATATTAATTTAAATAAAACATCTCACAAAGTGTTATGGATACCTAAACGAAATATGTCATGTGCACAATAGAAACTATTACCAGCTGGTTTTAATACAAAAACTTGATTGAATTGATGTACTGGATCTTCATCACACTATAAATGTTAAATATATAGTAAAATTTTTATTGTTTATCAATCTGAAATTAAAAGTTGATATATACCTGTAAACGGCCTAATACATTAATTAATATACCTCCATCAAACATTGGTTGTGAGTCCACTGATGTTATATCTCTCGTAATTTTTTGAAATGTTAAACTCTATATAAATTAAGTTAATTAAGAACTAAGTAAAATGATTATCAATACAAGTTGAAAAATAGTTATTATCAGATTATAGATTTTTATTCATTTACATTTTTTTTTTTTGAATACTTTAATTAAAATATGGTGTTTGAAATCTTAATGAATTATAAAACATTTAATTATATAGGAAATTTTTTAGAATTGTAATGCTTTTTTTTTTCTGAAACAATTTATTACATATTTAAAACAAAAAGGTCATTTATATAGAAAAAGTTTTTAAAGTTTAAAAATTATCTCAAGTTTATTTTATATTATTCAAATTTACAGAATGATCCAAATTTGGTAAAACATTCATTTTCTAAGAAACATTTTACATTTTTCTAAAGAGATAAAATATTAGAAAGTAAAAATATACTTAAAATACTAATTTGAATCTAAGAAATAGATTTAGTGTTTAGCTCTAATGATGGTAGCCATTTGTTTCTCGACATACATAAAAACATAATATATTGGTGGTTTTTGTGTAAAATAATTTTTTTAGTTTTAAATTAATATTTAAATATTAAACACAAGTTATCAATTTTATTATATAAAAATATTAAGTTTAAAAAACTACAATAATATGTAGTTAATTAAAATGTTAAAATGTTGTAACAAATGAACAAAAAATAAAAATGTTTATAATATTTTTTTTAATCATATTATCTAGTTGAAAATGGGGGTTCTTGTTTAAGAATATTAAATTAAACATTTTATTAACCTTAAAGAACATAAAAAAAATTATTTAACAATATATTGTTGTAGTTTTTTAAATCTCATATTTTTTCTTTTACACACATTTAAAATTCTCATTAGCTTCTAAGAAAATGAGTGTCTTACCAAATTTGGATCACCTTGTATACCTAGATAGAATGTTTATTTCTTACTTTGGAATATAAAAGCAAAAATTGATTAAGTATATAATTAATTTTGTTTTTATGCTTATAAAAGCATATTTTTAAATTAAGAGAATATAATTTAAATACATTAAACTGATTTTTTAAAAGAATATAAGATTTAAAAAATTTTGAGAGAATATTAACATCATATTTTAATTATTTTATATGAATATTATCATTAAAGTTATTTTACCTTTTAAAATTTTTACTAACTCGCTTAAAAAAATTAAAAAGATTAAGATATCTTACATTAAATTTTTCCATTATTTTGTTTGCACCTTGAAGTGGTACACCTTCAAATGACATGAATGATGTCTCTGGCTATTTATCAATAAGAAAAATAACGATATTACTGCAAAATACTTTTAAAGACCAACAAAATTATTCCTAAAGATTTAATGTCTACTCACGTTGTACATGGTGACTAACGAAGCTCTCTGAGATGCGTCATCGAACATTTGGTAATATTGACCCACAAAACCTTTACCAATCGCTTCATATTGTGGATTTAATGCCATGACAAATCAGAATTAAACGCAAATAAATTTTAAACCTAATGTAAGATACTCCGTTTAGTAAAAAAAATGAATAGAAAATTTTTTCACGATGCGATACTCCGTTTTCGATAGTGGATAGACGTTATTCTGCAAGTACCATTACCCAGGTTGAAATTAATACCGGTATTGATAAGCCTTATATAATTTTCTTTGTGGAACACAACCATAGTTATTAAATCATTGTCAGGTAACCCTTATCCTTTATTAAATGTCAAATACTAGTTGTTGTAGAACTCGAGACCATCCAAGTATTGTACAAGAATATTCGAATTAGGGCTCTGTATAAGGATTGATGTAGATCTCCAATTCGAATAATTAGTCAAAAATAATCAAATGAAATACGAATCACAATTTATATTACTTGAACTGGTTTTAAAAATAATTAATGATTATCTATTAATATGAAATTTTAAATTATTGCGGTACATATTCTTTAATCAAAGTTCCTCTTTTATAAATTAATTTTATATATTACAAATAAAATCTCTTTCAAAATAACAGACTAATATTTACAAGGACGGCCTAGCCATTTATGTCGTTTTTCTTAAAAATAAAATTAGATTAAAAAGTTAAGTGTATGTATTTATATAACATTTGAATACATTGAGTGGGTATGTATTGCGGGTAGACAGCATGTACTGATGTATTTATAATGCATATTCTGTTCACGCTGTATACTGCCGTGCTAAGCGAAAACAGGATAATTCTAGTCAACATGATTTTTCAGGAACACAAAAAAACATTTTTAACAGTAAATCAATCATAAAAATGGCGTTTTTACAAAAAATCGGTCAAACCTTGTGCTGATGTATCTAATTTTACATCTAAAATTGGTTGAACACTTATTTTTTCAACTTTTTTAAAGAGAAAATAGACTTATCATAAAATTAATCGTGATAACAAATGATAAGGATTAATACAGTGATGACCATAATATTCTTAACAATATCAGTTAAGGCGTTTGGGTAACGACCTTTTTTCAGGGGTCGAATATAGGCAACTTTGCAGTTTTTACATGTTACGCAGTGTCGTTGTGTGAGAAATAAATGATTATTAGTGTAAGTGTCCATTATTGGGAGTATTTTCGTCGTGTTATAGTCGATAACAAAACCGGTTGTGTACCTGCCTTACTAATTGATGCAATACGATTATATTGATAACGACACACGTTTATTTTATGTAGTATAAAAACTATAGTTTAGCACCAGCCTCATAGTAAATACTAATAGACGCGTCATGATTTCACAAATTTTAATTGATTATAAAAATAATTAAACTATTTATTTTTGACGAGTAAGAAAAACTAAATATTTATAGAAAACAAGTTAAATCATATGAGATCCACATCGTTTATTTTGAAGTTATAAAACTATAAAAAAACTAATTTTAATTATAAGAATTTAATTTACAAAACTACTTTATTTACACACTAAAATATTTAAGTTTTATAAGCCATAATGGGAAGTCCTTTGTCATTCACTTTTCCATTTTCAATAGCAAGCCTAGTTTCTTCTTTCCCCTCTAACTCTATCGAAACCCATGCAGTTTTTTCAGTTTGCTTAGCAATTTAATCATGATATATTTGATACGTTTTATTACTCATACAAGGCATATTTAGTACAACAGAAAACTGTTCTAAATTTGTAAGCCCCCCTGGCCAGTATTCAAAGTAGCAGTAACAACTGCAGTATTTATACTAAAAGAATCATTTAATTTGAGATCCTCTGAATAAATTATTTCTTTTTTTTTTGCAAAAATTACATTCAAAGTGAAATCCTGAAAAAAAAAACCCTTTGAACTTCAGTTTTAAATACAAGATTTGAAAAATTACAGGCAAATAACTCGTGTTTAATTGATTTCAAACAATAAAAAAATATTCAATATTTATTATTCTACGACTGTTTAAATTATACCTAAATTAGTTAAATATGTGCATTAATTTCATTGTAAAATAATACTATAAAAAATAAACTAACTCTTTTTGAATTATTGGTTGATTAACTTCTGAAGAAATTTTTTTACAAGTATCAAGAGTTTGTGCACTGAGTGTCAATGGTAAAAAATCATAAAAACTATCATCTCCAATTTTTCTAAAGAAAAAAAATGTTTGTTTCTAATAAATTATATTTTAACCTTGTCCTTCTCTAAAAAATTTTCTTCGTGAAAAAATTACTCACTCATTTATTAAATTCTCCTCGTTACTTGTTTGAAGTATGTCAAGTAAAATGGTAGTTTGAGAATTGGAAATATTCTACCAAAATAATATATATTGTATTTATTTTTTAATTTTCATGTGTAGCTGAAGTGGTATCTTGATTTTACAATAATGTGTTTTTTATTTACACATTTTTTCTACTAATAAGAACTATTAATTTTTAGTCTGATAGTGTACCTAAATCATTTTTTTTTTTTTTTGAAATGTCACTTATACTTCATGAATTCTAAGCACTTCGTATTATATTAAATATAGGTTATATCTCATCATCACTCAATTCTGATCACCTTTTTTTAAAAAAATGATTTACTTTTTTTATTGCATGTAGTTTAAAATTCATTTTATAATTAATGTAAAAGATTTATATATTTGATGATCAAGCAATTTATGTATGTATACATTTCAAATGTGTTGAAATAAAAAGCTCATAACATCAGTTACTTAGTGTTAGATCTAGTTTGATAACATAGTGTGCGGCTGAGAAAAACACGTTATTGTGTCAGATTTAAAGAGAAATTATGATGCTGAATACATGAACAAGATATATTTTTTGATCTTTTGGCGTATCGTTGAACAATAACAGTCCAGTAAAAAACACATCATAGTAAAACTAATACCTTCTCAGTTATCTATCGAAACTAAGAAAGTGTATGAAAATTATTTTTATATATGCGTACGCACCAGATTTTTTTTTTTACGCCACTTATATAATGTTAATATATTACCTCTATTTTTTTAGCGACACTTATATAGGAATACAACAACAAAATTGGTTTCTTACTATTTAATGATAGCTTTGCAAATAAGATAAAAGCAAATAATCTAATATCATATATACAGGTATAATATAAAGTATGCATTTGTAACTATTTTTAGGCAGTCGGTATTGTCCTATGCAACTCAATGGGCAATAACTGTAAACTGTAATAAAGGGTTAAAAACATCAAAATTTCAAAAATATGGCCTGACCGATACCTAAGTGACATGATGCTGAATTCAGATGTTTTCAGAATTCTTATCGCATCAGTAGTTTCGTCGTACTGATGGAACAAAAACGGGTTGTTTTTGACTAAAAAGCGGTCGGTACCCAGACGCCTTAAGTAAATTACAAAATAACGTATCAAATAATCACCATTTACAATTTAAAAAATTTGACTGAAGTTACGTCACGTACATACCCTTTTACCCAACGTATGAAAATAAGCCAAAACACGGCAACTCGATTATTTTTAATGTGATATACCAAGTTTCTGTTTAGTATTTGAATTTACCGTGTTATCGCTTACAAAACATCAAATATATTGGACTTGCCGAATATTTTCTTATTTTAAATTTAATTTTTAGATGGGTTTTAATAGGAAATATGCTATTTTTACATCAAAAATCGATATAAAACCACTAATTTTATCTATAGAAACAAAAAAAAAAAATTTTAACATTGGAGTTACCTGTTTTTGCTTAGCACGGCAGTATACCAAGTATATGGCATTTGTAGTAATACATGAATAAATCTAATATTATGTATAACAATACGTGTAACTTAATAAGTAATTATCTTTAAGTTTTTCTTTTAAAGAGCTAAAAAATGACTATTTAAAATTTTTAAAAATAAGTTATTAGTTTTTTTTATTAGGAGCAAATAATAAAAAATTTAGTTTAAAACAGGATCCAATGCAAGCTTCATCCGTACACCAGTTATGAGTTTTAAATTGTATGAAGGTAGTTTACTAGAGTAGGAGGAGTAATGGAGGCTTGAATTTTTTGAAAGCAGGGCAATTATTTTTGGGATGACTCCTCTGCCTCTACAGACAGTTCATCTTTGTATTTTTTTTATTATTATCAATTTTTATCTTGATTTACTTATTAAAAAATATAATTGAACACAGATAGAATCCTAATTGATAATATAATCTGAAAAACAAAAACAAGTAATTAGTAATAAAGTAAATCAACTCGTATAAAAAAGATCTATATTGAGTATTTACAATTTATCACGAAGGTTAATTAAAATGACCATGTACAACATTGATTTTACGAGTACAATGTAAATAAAAAAATGAATTAAAATTACAATATACAACAAGTTATAATACAATAAATTATATACAAAACATACATTGTAGTGCAAAAAAAATAAGTATATAAATTAATTGATCAATACTTTTTGTTAATAATTATTTTGCACCAAAATTTGAATATTAAATTTATACAGAGTATTATCTATAAAGAAAAATAAGCATAGCAGTCACATTTTTCATTTAAATTATTTAAAAATTGTTATCTAATATACTCTTTTTAAAAATTAAAATAAAAGAATATTCTGTAAAAGTTATATATATTTTTTTAAACCATTACTTAGAAACAAGATCTGTTATTATTTATGTCATATAATGGTAACAGGCTATAACTGAATTTTATTATGAATGTTGATATATATATATATATTTATAACATATATCAAATGGAATATTTACGCACTTTTACGTAAGAATTTTAACAAATTGTATTCAAAACACATCAATGTGATCTAAATATAAAAAACAAAATGAAATATATTAATTTTCATCAAAAGGTAGCAGATAAATATGTCCTTTATACATTTATATATATATATATATATAAATATGATTGTAATCAATAATTTTCTATGAAAAATATTTCTTCATTATAAATAAAAAATCTATAAATTATAGGTCTGTTAATAATAGTAAAATAAAACAAAAGGTAATTTAAAATGTTAGTAAATCAGATATTTCGTCTGTTTACTTTTTTTTTTTTATATTATCTATCTCCACATATTAAGTTGTGCGAGGTGTATGTGGACTTGGCGAAGAAGGTATAGTTAAAACAGTTGGTTGTTGTTGTTGTGGAGCCATTGAAACTGCAACAATAGAACCACCTTGTCCTGATGAATTTTGAACACGAAGTTGACCTTGACGTACTGACATTTGTTGACCTTGTTGAAATACAACCTTAAAATTTTTAAATTAAATATTAAAACTTTATTTAATAAAAACCCAGCACAGGGGGGTCGCAGCACAGTGGTGACGTGGCATAGATGGATCAAGTATAATGATATCTGACAGTGATTAAAATCACTATCATAAAAAACACTTCGATGCAAATCTTTAGATAGTGTTTAATTTTAAAAAATTGGTGGATTATTCCAAAAGCTTCATAAACTGCTAGTTCCTTATTAATATCCTGATTAAGATAAAGTATGTCGAATGAAAAAGGGATTATTAAAAAATAGTATTTCCCATAAAAAAATTATATTGATCAATACACTTTTCAATAAGTTATAGCATTATAATGTTAAAAATGTAAAAAATAAAATTGAGAATTTTCACACAATAATAGCATTTGGTAGCCATTTTCACCTTGAAGATAAAATAAAGTCCGAAATTTTTTTTTTCCATGATAAAGTATATTACATTAGCTTTAATTTAAGATATATATAAAAGTGTCAGACTTTCCGGAACACTTTCAAAATTTAAGTTGAAAAAGTCAATTTTTTGTGAAAAAGTTGTCATTTTGAATCCCCCCCTGTAGGCAGGTAAAAAGTCAGATTTATAAAAAAAATATACCAAATGATAGGTAAAGACATCATGCATCTACAAAAAAAAGAATTATATTGATCCATACATCTTTCGAGAAGTTATAGCATTATAAAGTTAAAAATATAAAAAAGAATTTTTTTACAAAAATCGTATTTTTTTTATTAAGTTTAATGTCTGTTTTCACCATGAAGATAAAATAAAGTCCGAAATTTTTTTTTACCATTATAAAGTATATTACATTAGCTTTAATTTAAGATATATATAAAAGTGTCAGACCTTCCGGAACACTTTCAAAAGTTACGTTGAAAAAGTTCTACTTTCTATATGCATTTTTATGTTTTGAATCCCCCCTGTATTTAGGGAAATGGTCCGATTTAAAAAAACAGTATGTCGAATGAAAGATCTATATAAATACTACTTCTCATAAAAAAATTGTAATGATTCATACATTTTTCAAAAAGTTATAGCATAATAAAGTTAAAAATGGAAAATACAAAATCGAAAATTTTCACACAAAAATAGCATTCGGTAGCCATTTTCACCATGAAGATAAGATAAAGTCCGAAATTTTTTTTTTTCATGATAAAGCATATTAAATTAGCTTTAATTTAAGATATATATAAAAGTGTCAGACCTTCCGGAACATTTTCAAAATTTAAGTTAAAAAAATTAATTTTTTGTGAAAAAGTTGTCATTTTAAATCCCCCCTTGTGGGCAGGTTAAGGGTTAAATTTATGAAAAAAATATACCAAATGAAAGGTAATGATATTATGCATCTATATAAAAAAGAATTATATTGATATGTTTATTTTTGAAAAAGTTATGGCACTTTTAAGTAAAAAAAATTGAAAAAATTTCGAAAATTAGCGATTTTTAAATTTGTAATTTTTTTGGAGGTTTCCCCCATTTACGGGGAACGAGGGAATTTTTTTCAATTTTTGAGGGTAATGTCTTCGACTAGATACAATTTGTGATCTTTTGATGTATCATTAAAAGAAATTGGTTCGGTGTGAGCTGAGAAAAAATGGTAACAGACACAAAAAAAAAAAAAAAAAAAAAAAAACACATCTTAGTAAAACCAATACCTTCTCAGCTTCGCATCGAAGCTAAAATAATTCAAATATATTTTTTAAAAATAAAAACTATTTACTTATAAAGAGAAACTAGATTTATAGGCAATTAAAAATATTGTTAAATTATTATGTACATATCATCAGCCAGTACAAATTTTGTATTAATTTGAAACCTTAGAAATGTGTCTAATTGAGGTTACTTTATTGGGTAATAAGCCCCCCTAATCCTAACCTAAAAACAAAAATATGCCCAAAACAAGTTTACTCAATTTTAAAATAGTTAATCACAAATTATAAATATACATACCCAGACATTACTTATGAATAAAAAATGTCATTATATTATAAATGTATATATATATTTTTTTTAATTATGAACAAATTAGAAGGACTGTTCATCACTTTTGTCATATCTATTTACTATCTGTTTTTTTTATTGAGAAAAAGAATCTTTTTCTAACACAACAATTCATTATTTTTACCACAGACCACAAGATAAGTCGACTGGAGTATAAATCTAATTAAAATCAAATTGTTTATCAATATTGATCCTTCCTTAAAAGACATTTTTTTTTGTTTTTAGGCTTTCTTTATAGACACATAATACACTCATATTTGTATATGTTAAACTTATTTTTCTTTTTGAAACAATTAAATTAAAAATCATCATTAATCTAAACTGTAATATTTATGTTATTGTATAAGTAGCTTAAGTACTAGAATGTATTTTATATATCTGATAGATGTGACACCTCGTCTAGGTGATGGTATCCTTGCTACCATAGCTATTCGTTAAGCAAACGGCAAACCATGTTTTGTTGCAGGCCAAAAATAGCCCATTTAAAAAAAACTAACAAGAATAAGGACTAGAAAAATAAATTGTAATACAACTACTTATCTCAGTTTCATATGTAACTAAGTTAGACATTATTTAACTGAGAAAATAAAACAAATCATTTTTAACAAAAAAAAAAAAAAAATTAACAGATTTCTAATTAATTTTTTTCAAAAAAGAGTAAGTTAAAATTCAATAATCACAAATGAGGTTTATATAAAAGCTACCTGAGAAAGTATGTTGGGAGAATGGCCAGTTGATCCAGTTGTCTTAAAGACATTACTTAAAGAACATGGTTGTAATGTTGTACGTGTACTTTCAATACCAACACCCGATGTTGTTCGTAAAGTTTGCACTGGATTAACAACCTGAATATTAGAATCTCATTAGTTTATATTACTTAATAATAATAATAAAATTTTATTATATCTTCATCTTAATGTTTATAATTATTCTTTTGTATATAATTCTACAAAAATTGAAGTAAAATCACCTAGTTATCAATTTAATTAACATTTTCAACATAATAATACAAATTTTAGTTTTAAATTGAAACTAGAAGTATTTAACTTTGGTAAAAGTAATACTATAAGAAAATTTAAATTAAAATAGTTTTTAAAACTTTGTACTTAAAATTTTTTAATTATCAATAAACTGCTATGAAATTTTAACAAGCGTTACCTGAATAGTTTGTTTTAATGAAGTTTGTGTAGTCACCACTGGTAAAACTCTAGTAAGTCCTAAACTAGATGTTTGGCCTTGATTTTTTGCAATTACATGAGATATCACTTGACTACTGTTAGAATTGGATTGCATTGCAGTTATATTTGCTCCAGATACCTAAATTTATAACAAAATAATAAATAAATAAGTATGCGACAGTAAAAATAACATTAACTTACACTAACATTTTGGATATTTTGTTGTTTCATCATGGTTTGCAATTGTTGCATTGTCATAGTACTTGGAACACCTTTTGACTGTACTATTAACTGAGTAGGAACTCCAGTTTTACCAGCCACCTATAAAGGTAAGAATGTTATTGTTACAAAAAAAAAAAAAAA